CTGCCTCCAGGAAGCCGTCCTGGGTTTCTCTATGGAAGACTCACAGACAAGTGAGCACAGGCCCCAGCGCCCACCAGGCCCCGGCGGTCCCAAGGCATGGGGGCTGCCCGAGGCATCAGACCCTCACCTGTTCCCAGCCATCTCAAGATCCCCACTTAGGCCCAAACAGTCCAGCCACAGCCGTGGTCATGTGACGTGCCTCTGTCAAGCCATTTCCTCCTGCAGGGGGCAGTCTGGTTCGGGAAGGAAGCCTCCCCAGAGCTACACCCAGGCCAAACCCACACTGGAGATTGGAGAAGTGTCAGGCTGGGGCAGTTGTGTGTCCTTGGTTGGTGCCTCAGCCTCTTCGTGCCTGCCTCTCCCGGCCCCTTGGGGATTAATGGGTTAACAAAGATGCTCAGGCAGAGCCTCCCACCCCACGACGTGCGGTGACTGGTGGGGGACACACACCTTGATGACCCGGCCTCGGAAGACACTCTTGTCTAGTTCCACGGCAGCCTGGGCTGAGCTCTCGGTGGCAAACTCTATGTAGGCATAGCTGCAGAGGGGCGGGGCAGGGCAGGTAAGGGCTCACCTGCACGGCTCTATCTCCTGGCCCCCCACCCCTCCCTGAGGCCCCTTCCCTGAGGGCCCCTGCACTGACCCCTTGGGGTGTCCGGAGAACTTGTCGCACAGGATGGTGACCCGGTGGATCTCCCCACAGTGGTTGAAATGGGCCTCCAGCTCCTGGGCTGTGCCCCCGTAGTCCACCTACAGGCACAGGCCCTGGTGTGGGGGGCCTCACCCTCCCGGGGGCTTCCGCACGTTTTCTTGGTAGAGAGGGGTTGATGGGGCCCCGAGGCCTCTGCTCCCCACCCCCACCAGGGGCCAACTGGGTACCCAGATGAATGCTCCCCAAGTTTATTGCCCTGTGCAAAGGGCCTGTGGTTTTTTAAAGTAGAACTCGTTGATCAGCCAACTGGGAGATTCATGTGGAAATCCCGAATCCCAGTCCTTGGTGGGAAATCAGGCCTGACTACAGCAGGCCCACGCTCCCTCCTGGGGACGGCCCCCTCGTTGGACCCGCCCTCCTGATTTTCTCTTCCAGGCCTGTGTGGCTTTTGAGTTTGCTGCCTATACGTGTCCCTTCTTCTCATCCTCAGAGCCACGAGGAAGCTGTAGACCCCGTCTCGCTCCCCTTCCCCACTCACGTTGCCCACGTAGACGGATCTGTGGTCGGCCTCCGTCTTCTCTGCCGGGGTGTCTGTTGGGAGAGGGGCCTCAGGACCGCAGGGCTTGCCCTGGGCAGGGGCTCAGTCCTCAGCCCTCGGGAGAGACAGTTGCCCTTGGGGGCCTGTCTAGAAGGACCCATGCCAGGCCTGGCCTCTCCCCAGGAGACAGCACTGTTCTGCAGCAGCTTGCGGCCACCCCAATTTACAAGCAGAGGGGGCCAGAGCCGCCTGCCAGAGGACTGGGGGCCACCTGCCCGGGGAAGGGGTTGGCCTGGATGGCCGGCTCCTACCTGGCTCAGGGCTCAGCGGCTGCCGGACTGGCCCAGCCCCGGGGCCCTCCTCTTCCCTCTCCTGGCCCTGCACCCCAGGTGGCTCCTGCCCCTGGGCCTGCTCCATGGCCCACAGCTTCAGTCTGATGGCCTCCAGCTCCTGCCAGCAGAGGCCCAGGCTGAGCCCTGAGGCACGACGGCCCCAGGCTCCTCTGGAGGGAGGGCAGAGGGGAGTGGGCCTGACCCTGCCGTTCTGAGGGTCGTGCTGGGGGCTCCTCGAAGGGGAGAGGGAAGGCCAGGTGGGCCCGCAGAGAAGCCCTTGTAACCCACCCCCAACACAGAGGCCCCCTCCAGACCAGAGAAGCTGCCCTGCCCCTCCCCCCAGCCTGTGCAGGTGTGGGCGTCCCTACTCCCTCTTCCGGACAAGGGGACATTGGCTCTCTCACATTTGGGGTACGAGCTCTGCCATCCGTACCCCCGCCCCCGAACCCTGGGACTCCTAAGATCCCAGCCAGCCTCTGCCCGGCGCTCCACGTGGCTGTTACCTGGTCAGGTCCCGGACACTCGGCCAGGTCCGCCCTCTCCAACAGAGACAGCAGGATGCCGGCATCCTCCGCGTCCTCTCCCTCCGCTTCCCCTGTCTTCCTTTCCTTCCCGCCCCCACCCCCTGAGCCCAGAGGGGTCTTCTCTGTCCGGCTCCAGGCCCCCCAGCCCTGGGCCTCAGGGTCTGAGGAAGCTTTCTGGAGCCAGGCCTCACTGGGGGGTGGGAAGAGAGCACGGCTGAGGAAGGGCCACATGGTGATGGGGGAGGAGGGCAGGCAGGTCCTCTGTGCTCCCACCTCCACGCCAGCACCTGCCCGCCCGCCGGAGTTTTAAGCCCTCCCCCAGGCCAGCTGCTCCCACTAGAGCACCTCAGAGCTTCCCGGCTAGGGCCGGGCCTCCACCCTGACTTCTGGGCCCGAGGCTTCAGAGGCCAGACCCCTACCCCGGGCTCCTCCTCCTCACGGGGCAGGCCCCCCCCAGAACACTCAAAGTGGAGAGGGACAGCTGGGGTGGAGCCTCACTTGCCACAACTCCGGAGCTAGGAAGCTACTGGGGTCGCCGGTCCATGTCCCTCACTCAGCACCGCACCTCCAGTGGGCAGCCCCAGTTAGGATGACACAGGCGCAAGCGAATGACCTGAGTGTGCGGAAGTGGGAAGGGGGCCCATGGGGTCAGAGCAGGCTTCCTGGAGGGGGTGGCATTTGAGACAGCCTTCACAGATTGGGTCAGGCAGAGCCCAGGTGGCCTGGGGCCTGGAGGGGAGACAGACGCCTCTGTCCCTCCTCCTGACCTCTCATTGATTCCCCATGGCCCCTTTCCTCCCCACCCCCATTCTGGGCCAGCTTTTGGGTGGGAACCACTTAAATGCATCCAGAATCCTGCCGGGGCGCAGGGCAGGATGGTGAACTCTGTGCAGATCCCGCGGATCCTGGGGGCGGAGGGCAGTCTGTGAAGGCCTGGCCTCTGCCCCTTGCTCTCCCGCGGGCAGCTGCAGGCCGTTGTCCCGGGGCGCTCTGGGCTCCATCTGTCCTCCCTGAGCAGCTGCTCTGGCTTCCTCTCGCCCCGGCTTGATCTTGGGAGAGCTCCTTCTGTGTCTTCGTCCTCCTGATGTGTTTCTGGGGACCCCTCTGGGCGGGTTTGCCCCCCTCCCCAGCCCACAGCCTGCCCGCGGGGCCCTAACTGGTGGGTCCCAGTCAGTCCAGTCGGGGTCTCTTCCTGGGAACGTGGAATTGGGGAAGGGAATGGTTGCAGACTGTGACCCCCGGGCGCCGTGCACCCTGGAAGGAAGTGGGGGGCACTGCAGCTGTCTTTCTTCTCTGACTCTGTTCTCACCTCTGCAAAGGCTGAACTAAGACTGCATAGTGCCCCCTACCCGACCCCGGGCCCTGAGGAAAGGTGGTCTGTGGGCAGTCTCCCGGCCTGTAGGCATGGCCTACCTGCTGCCCACCCCCTTGCTGGGACACCCCCTCTTCTCCTGTGTCCACAGAGCTGTAGGTACTTGCATATACGAGCAGCCTCCAGGGGGCGCTATTGCCACTGTGCCGCTGCGACCAGGAAGCCTTCCTGATTGCTCCTTCTCCCTCTTGTGGCCACGGCACCTGGGCCTTACCCTCTGTCTGTCCCACATAAGTTACACGTCCCTAGGTCTCCCCAGCCGGCCAGAGTGCCTGAAGGGCAGTGTCCACGTCTGCACCGAGGACAGAGCCTCGGCCCGGGGCTGGCTGGATGAGGCTGGAAGTGCAGCCGTGCAGGTCTTTGCCCTGGAACGTGGGGCAGTCAGGTCCCCTCCCCACCGTGGGCTACGGCCCCATGGAGGGCTCTGGCCGGGGCCCTTCCTCTACCTCCTCGTGGAGGGCAGGACACCATGGCAGCTGTGTCCAAGCCAAGAGCCGGCTGGACTCCGGCCCAGCCCAGCCAGCCTCCCTCTGAGCTCAGACCTCCGCAATGGAAAATCATGGTCATCCTCTCCTGTGCCGAGACTGCTGACACACCAGGCCCGGATGGGGCTCCCGCCAGCGCCTGGCGTGGGGATGGCCTCGCCCCCATACTGGCCTTTCCAGTGACGTCTTTCAAAATACACCATGTTCCAGGCTGGGCCCGAGTATTAATAACATGCCTTCCTCCCAGGGGCCGCCAGTGAGCCCAGAGCCCAAGCCCTGGGCACCTGCTCTGGGCAGGACTATCCTGTGAGCTGGGACACCATGACTGTGACACTGTGGCTCCTTAGGGTCAAAGTGTCCCTTCCCTTGGTGCTCACCCTCAGTGTCTTGCGCGAGGTGCCCACACGGCCACAGGCAGGGAGGCTCAGGGCCCCTGAAGCCATGGGTGTCATCTGGGGTCCAAGGTCGTCCAGACCACATGGAGGACACAGTCTTCACCCCACTTGGTGAGCGCTCAGGAGGCTGTGGGGCCTGCGCACCCTCAGCACGACGTCACTTTGTCCATCCACCGCCATGGGGCAGGGTCTTGTCTCTCTTCCCTGGCACTGAGAAGGCCCCCAACACAAATCTGGTGAATAAATATGGGAAACGGACTTAGAGTGAGTCTCCGGGAACCCAAGGAGAGGCAGAGCCCCGAGATGGACAAGGGCGGCTTTATTACATGCACAGAATCCATGTGACCCTAGTGGCACCATCTCCCGGTGCTCAGATCAAACAGAGACATCAGAGGACACGGGGGCGGCCGCCAGGACCCTGCACAGCCCAGGAGGACGACCCAGTGTTCTCAGCCCAACTCGCTTTGGGGAATTAAAACATAAAATAAAGGGAAAAAGAAAGAAGTGGAGAATCAACCCATCCCCACGAGGCTGCGTGGGGCTGGGCCCCGGCCCCCTTGGCCGGCGGAGGGGCCGAAGGCTGGCCTGGCTGGGTCCCATCCTTCACTCTGGCATCGAAAGCCAGACTCCAGCTGAGGCCCAACGCTGCGTGGCCGCTGTGACCGGCCTTCTGGGAGGCACTCCAGGGGCAGGCTGCATCGAAGCGAAAAGAGCAGAAAGCAAGCAGACGGGCTTCTCTGGAACGCTGGGGGACCTGTGCAGGTTGCTGTCACAGACGGCTGGCTCCCCGGGCTTGTCCGCGAGGCGTCCTGAGGAGCAGGCGCATCCCTGGTCTGGCTCCCTGCGGCCTCTGCTCCCTTCCACTTTCTCCTCCTGTAATCCAGTGGCAGCCTCCCAGCCCTTCTGGAAGGTGCCCTGTGTGTCCTGGGAGCCCAGAGACAGGTGTAGCAGGCCGCTGGGACCACAGCTGGGCCGGGGCCTCAAGGTCACAGAAACATCGGCTGCCATCAGCTGAATTCAGCCTGCGCGGGTCTGTGTCTGCACCTACCCGGAGCTCTGAGGGCGAGTTTCCAGCGTCTGGGACCCCAGGGTGGAAGATGGGAGTGGGAGTGAGGCAAAGCCACTCCTGAGCACCTGGGAGAAGATGGGGTCCAGAAGCACTGGCGTCCGGGGAGGCCAGTGCTGGGCTCTTTCTTCCCCCTCCCTCCCTGGGGACACCTCCTCCAGGCAGTGACCCCTGGTGACAAGGAGAGGAACTGGCGGCCTCGCCGGCGTTGCCGGGGTCTTGCCAGGCAGCGTGCTCTCCCCGACTGGTGGCCCCGGTCACAGGGCCCCTGAGCAGCTGTATGGGCTGCCTCCCAGCGCCTCCTCTGGTCCATGGCCACCACACTTGCCAGGCAGGCCCAGACTGGCCGGAGCTGTTGCTGGGACGTTGGCCTGATCTGCCCACAATGCCTGCAGCAGCCCACCTCTGTCCCTGGAGAGGGCCTAGGCTGACCAGTGGCTGGGGCACTGGCAGGGGAGGCTGAGTTATGGGGGCTCGAAAGCACCCCTGCAGCTCTGCATCACTCAGGGAGCTGGTGTTGCTACTCTGCGTTCAGTAGATGAAGGGTGGAGCGGGGATGGACTCAAGCATGGCTGTGTGTGGGTTAGACCAGAAAATGGGTGGACAGACACACACCCGGTGTGCAGAGGAGTGGAAGGAGGAGAGAGGTGGACGGTGCAAGGATACATGGGAGGTTAAGTGACAGCTGGGGTAGAGTAGTGGGTGGACGGATCGGTGGACGGATGGATGGAAGATGGCTGGATGGGTGGACAGGTGAATGGCTTGGTCAGGATACACTGACAAAAGAAAAGGATCAGTAAGTAATTGCAGGTGGGCCGAAAGGTCGGGCAGAATAATACCCAGACCCCTGTGCTGCAATGAGCCAGGACAGGCGAGGTGGGCAGATGCCGGGGACTGGACTTCAGCGCCATTCTGAGGATGCACTTGGAAAAATGGGCAAACAGGAGGCCGTCAGGGTCTGCCCGGGCCCCCTCCCGGGTGTCACGGGGACGCAGCCAGCAGCAGCGCCCCTCTCCCGTCTGTCTCCCTCAGCCACTGGCCTCTCTGGCCCTGATGAGCGACCCCCACCTGCTGAGCCACAGGGTGGCCCCTTCCCAGGAGGACGGTTCCTCTTGTCCTACGGCCCTTCCCCTCCTGGACCCTAAGGCTTTCTCCAGCTCCCCTCTCTGCCCTGGCAACACCCAAGGCTTCGCTTTGGTCCTGGCGAGCCGTGAAGATAGGGTCCCTCATTATTCAGACGGGGTCTGGGGTGTGCCAGCCTGTCCACAGCGGGAATAGGAGACACTGGTCTTTGCCCACAGAACAGGACACACCCCAGACACCGCCTGGGGATGGCGACACGTCCTCAGAGAAAGGTCAGAGAGAGGAGGGGGAGGGAAGGGTCGGAGGGTCTCGCACACCAGGGGGCTTTCCCCACGGGGACGAAGACCCCGGCGCCAGCATCCCGTCCCCGCCTGTCATCAGCCTGGCTTGGGCCAGTGGGCTGGGAGCCCTGGCTGCTGCCTGCCTCCCTTGGCCTTCCTGTCCTGGCTTTGGCCTCGGAGCAGGAGGAGAAGCTGCCACACTCCGCAGAGCTTTGGGGTAACCAGTGTGTCCAATCTCAGCAGCCCACGAGGAGGAGACACTCGCGCACGCATCGACAGTCGACAAGCCCGAGCGGGAGCAGGACAGGATGGTCTCCAAGCAGAGAGAGGAGGCTGGGCCCCTTTCTGTCCAGACCCCTCTTGGCATGAGAGAGGCAGGTCCTCCAGGGGCCGAAAGCAGGTGAAACATGGACTTAGATACTTCCCGCCACTAGTCCAACCCTGGATGCAAGAGATCTGCCTGCCCCGCCCTCCCACCAAAGCTACTCATTGTTTGCTTCTGCTGTGAGGTCTTGGGCCACACGGGGGCTGAGCATTAAAGGGACCCTGGGTGGGGGCGGGGGGGAGCACCTGCTTCGTCTGACCCAGACCGTACCTGCCGCCCGCGCTGACACGGTGCCCACTAGGTACCCCCTCCCACCCACTCCGGGCCTCAGGGTCCTCACCGCAAGCCTCCTCACCACTACCCACGCTCGCCTCTGTGGATGCTCTCTGCGGGCAGAGGCTCTGTCTGCCCGCCCTGGCCAGCCCCTCGTGCCAGGCTGTTGCAGCCCTGGTTGGTGGCAGGTCCTGGTGGACAAGAGAGGGATGTGGGGCCCACACTGGAAAGGTGGCCTTTTACAGCTGCTCGAAAGTGATCTCTTCTCAACAGCTGGGGTGGGAGGCGCTGCCGGGCAGCTGACCCTCAGCCGGTGGGCTGGCCCTGCAGGCTGGGCTGGCCAGATGCCACCAGCTGGCTGCCATCCCTGGTGTGCTTGCTTGTCCCCAAAGAAGGGTCCGGCAAGGGGAAGAGAAGCAGAGGCCAGCAGCAGGGCCTCAGGTGGCAGGCTCCTCCCAGGCCTGGCTCAGGACAGCAGCCCTGCCCCAGGGTCGCAGCGTCAGGGCCTCACATCTCACCCAGACCCCAGCCTGCCCAGGGAAGCGCCTGTTCCGCGGCACAATCTTGTGGGAACAGAGTCAAAGGGGACGCAGGGCTACTTCACAGCACGTGCTGCCTCACGGCAGCCCGAATCCCACAAGGCCCCTGCTCTTCTGAAACCCACAGATGGAGCCTTGGGGGGGGGCTGAGGTGCCATGCGGGGGGATGGAGGCTGCCGGGGTGGCGGTCGGCGGGGGCTCCCGTCAGCCCAGGTTCGGACAGCACCTGCCCTGTGGCAGCTGGGTGGAGTCCTCCCTCTCGATTCTCAAAGGGTGACTTCCTACCACTCTGAACAACGACAGCGATCAGACAAAGCCAGCGCTCCTCGTGGGACCACCGTTCAGATTTCTTTGAAAACCTATCACCCTAACTCTACATACTTCCGTAGTTTCTCTTAATTTTTTTAATTTGGCAAACATCTCTTCTTTATTACCCCCTCATGAACACGGTCATTTGGACCTCTGCAGGGACTATGTACATTCACATTCTCGTGTGCTACTGACTTCTTGCCTCGCGGCGGGGCCCCGGGTTTCAGTAGCTGGTCACCACTGCACTCCAGTCCTGGGGACTTCTCACAGCCACGCAGGGAAGCGCAGATCGGGGGCCGTGTCTGCCACTTGCTCTCCCACTGAGTACAGGTCAGAATTTCCTTATTCCCTCCTTGAGATCGCTGTGGGGAGGTGAGTGGGGCCGGGGCACAAGGCCAGACTGGGGGGACTTCAGAGAGACACCCCCTGAGGAGCAGCTGGACAGAAACACGGGATTTTACGCAGGTGACCAAGTCTCCAGGAGGTGCAGGGAGGGCAGACTGCGCGCGCGCGTGCGCGCGCACGTACGTGTGTGTGTGTGTGTGTGTGTGTGTTTTCTTTTTCTGCAAAAGTGTGAAGACAGGAGTGGCAGGACACGCTGGGGTTGAGCTGGAAAGATGAGCTGGGGAGGCTTCGTGGCCCGGGGAGCAGAGGTAGAGGCGGGGGCGGAGAAGCAGCAGGTGCTGTCTCCTGTGCTTGGGAAAGCAGTCAAGAATCAAACCAAAAGATTGTCACAGTTTTGTCTCCGAATCACGGTCTCTCTGGGAAGGACATGTTAGCACTTTTTTTCACGAGTGGAGAAAATGAAATGCGATGGGAATTCACGGGGGCGTGAGGACAGCCCGAGGTATCCTCCCCGCACACCAGCAGACACACGGCGGGGCGCGCCCCGGGCGCATACGCAGATGCGCACATACGGGGCCCAGGGCCGCGCTGCCCACCCCGCCCGTCCCCGGCGGAGGCGCTGCGGTGGAGTTGAAAAGAAAGAAGTCGCTTCTTGTTGGGCAAAACGCTCCAAACCCCAATGTCCCGACACCCCTGAAACAGAATCCAAGCAAGAGAGAAGACCCACGACCTCCTGAACAAGCCCAGGTGTGGAGCCAAACAGTGAAGAACATACTTTGGCAGTGACAAAACAGTTTTGGATTCTTACTTCTTGTGTCTGCTTTTTGGATCTCCTTGGGAGCAGAGGTGTGTCTGGCGTCCTTGGCTGGCTAGCTGGCAAGGTAGTTTACAGGTGTGGTCCTTTATCTGTTTTAAAAAAACTTTTTGGATTTCTACTTAAAGCCAAAGAGTTTGACATTAAAGGAAAAAAGTCCGAAACCAAAAAAATATTTCTTGAGTCAGAAATTGAGCTCTTTCTCACCATCCTCAGCATGTTGGCCACACAGCCCTGGGGTGGTTTCGGTGACTCAGCGGCTCAGGTCTCCAGCTATGAAAGAACAGCTTTCTTTTTCCCTTTTTCATCAGGAAGGGGAAATCCCCACAGTTTTCTTTGTCCATTACTGAGTAGTTCTTTTGCCACAAAACCCCCAAAATTCTTCAATGAAAATATAAGCCACCAAACAATGAGATTTTTTCATTTAAAGTATGTGAGAGTTACAAAGACATAAACCCCAGAGAGAGAGAGAGAGGTGGGTGCGGACGGAGCCGGTCACCCTCTGGCCGGCGAGCGTCCCGTGGGCTAAAGCTTGCCGGGAGGCTCTGAGTCTGAGGATGGGAGGAGAGGTCGCTGCGTGACTGACAGGTAGCCGAGGAAGCTGCCTTCAATGCAGCTGTGTTGGTTCTGTGTTTTCTTTTGGAGAGAAGCAGCAGCAGTGACTCCCACGGCCGGGCTCCCAGGGCTGGGCCAAGTCCAGTGGGCCCGGGGCAGGGCTGGGCGGGTCGGCGGGTGCGCCACCCTTGGCCCGGGCACCGGGGTCTGGGCGGGTCAGCGGGGTGCAGCGTCCAGTGGGC